CCTCTACGCTTCCCTTTACAAGCTGCTGATGTCTGGGGGGGGGGGGGGGGGTGCAACCCAATGACAGCTATGAAAGACTTAGGGAGAGTCGGGTCGGGGGCCGGAGAGGAGGGGCAGCCTATTAGATTGTCCTTAATTTAAGCCCTCTACCCTAACAGCATCCCAGAAGGCAGTTGGTAGTGGTGGGGGACTTAGCGGCAGCTGCCAGACAATAGAATCTCTGCGTGCAGTGCTGCACACACTTTCACTGGTTCCTTACTGTGGGGTAACCTGACCCCATGGCCCTCCCCCTGCAACCCCTGACAAAGCAGCTCCAGCAAGGCCTCTGCTGCCCTACAACAGCCCCGGGTCCTGGGTCTCCATTTATAATGCAGGCAGCCACCATGACACAATGCCCATGGTACTGTCCTTTAAAGAATGGTCAGGGACGCCAGCTGTTGCTCAGTGAGGAGAGACATAAAGAGTCAGCCAACCAGCCTCCCTCCTTCCATTCAAGCGGATGGAGCTCTAGCCACCATCCTCCACTCCACACTGAACTCACATACTGCTCTTCAAACCTAAATCAATTTGTCTCTGATCTGACACATATCGTCACAAACGCATACCATGTACGCTAACATGTTTCATCCAGACAAACACATATGGTAGGATATGGGCTGACATGTTTGTTTCAGACTGAAACTAGGTTAAACAACAGCTACAAGGGAACCTTTTAAATACTCCAATCCACATCAAATGTTCAACACTTTCCAGAATAATTACACTAAGTATATTTGTTGGACAAATGAAGACCTGAAGACAGTGAGTGCCCAGCCTGAAGCATCTCTGACTGAATAATAATGTCACAGCCTACATGCTGCAGCACATATACAGTACATGTGGCAACGCAATGAAAACAATGTCAATATGGGTTCTACTGGGCTGGCTGTATAGAGACACTGTAGGAAAAAGTGGTCCTGTGTGGCTCAGTTCATAAGCTAGCAACACTAAGGTTGTGGGTTCGATACCTGCAGGGATCACCCATACACATAATAAATAATTAAGGTCTAGGATACCTTAGGCTGATGTTGGCTTGCTGGTTGACCTGTGTAGTACTGTTGGACCGTCTCAAGTTCTTGATAGAGCGGGAGCTGCCAAACCCAGCATCACCCTACAGACAAGAATGCAGACAAAGAGGTAAATGAAATACAAGACATCCAAGTTATCTGGCAGTGGAACGTTTATATTTAGGCCTATGTTGCTTAAAACAATGTAATATCAGCACACACTCATACGCCAAACATGAGTATCTTTGTACAACACAAGTTTGAAGTTTGGATGATATCTCGGCTATAACACAGCTTTAACATATTAGTAATAGCCTAACTGTCACAAACAGGGTTAACTTGCACCCCTACAAACAAGCAAGATTTCTGGCTCTCACAGACCTATAACTTCTTCTTTAAGAGGCTCCTCTGTCCTCCACTCGTTACCTGTATTAATGGCACCTGTTTGAACTTGTTATCAGTATAAAAGACACCTGTCCACAACCTCAAACAGTCACACTCCAAACTCCACTATGCCCAAGACCAAAGAGCTGTCAAAGGACACCAGAAACAAAATTGTAGACCTGCACCAGGCTGGGAAGACTGAATCTGCAATAGGTAAGCAGCTTGGTTTGAAGAAATTAACTGTGGGAGCAATTATTAGGAAATGGAAGACATACAAGACCACTGATAATCTGCCTCGATCTGGGGCTCCACGCAAGATCTCACCCCGTGGGGTCAAAATGATCACAAGAACGGTGAGCAAAAATCCCAGAACCACACGGGGGGACCTAGTGAATGACCTGCAGAGAGCTGGGACCAAAGTAACAAAGCCTACCATCAGTAACACACTACGCCGCCAGGGACTCAAATCCTGCAGTGCCAGATGTGTCCCCCTGCTTAAGCCAGTACATGTCCAGGCCCGTCTGAAGTTTGCTAGAGTGCATTTGGATGATCCAGAAGAGGATTGGGATGTCATATGGTCAGATGAAACCAAAATAACTTTTTGGTAAAAACTCAACTCGTCGTGTTTGGAGGACAAAGAATGCTGAGTTGCATCCAAAGAACACCATACCTACTGTGAAGCATGGGGGTGGAAACATCATGCTTTGGGGCTGTTTTTCTGCAAAGGGACCAGGACGACTGATCCGTGTAAAGGAAATAATGAATGGGGCCATGTATCGTGAGATTTTGAGTGAAAACCTCCTTCCATCAGCAAGGGCATTGAAGATGAAACGTGGCAGCGTCTTTCAGCATGACAATGATCCCAAACACACCGCCTGGGCAACGAAGGAGTGGCTTCGTAAGAAGCATTTCAAGGTCCTGGAGTGGCCTAGCCAGTCTCCAGATCTCAACCCCATAGAAAATCTTTGGAGGGAGTTGAAAGTCCGTGTTGCCCAGCGACAGCCCCAAAACATCACTGCTCTAGAGGAGATCTGCATGGAGGAATGGGCCAAAATACCAGCAACAGTGTGTGAAAACCTTGTGAAGACTTACAGAAAACGTTTGACCTGTGTCATTGCCAACAAAGGGTATATAACAAAGTATTGAGAAACTTGTGTTATTGACCAAATACTTATTTTCCACCATCATTTGCAAATAAATTCATAAAAAATCCTACAATGTGATTTTCTGGATTTTTTTTCCTCATTTTGTCTGTCATAGTTGACATGTACCTATGATGAAAATTACAGGCCTCTCTCATCTTTTTAAGTGGGAGAACTTGCACAATTGGTGGCTGACTAAATACATTTTTTCCCCACTGTATACTGCTTGCTGGTTTCACTCACCAGTGTGTTGCGTTTGCCCCTGCCCTCGCTGGCTACAGAGACAGACACAGAGCGGGAGAAGACTTTCCCTGGAGAGGCAGAGCTGGGCCGGCGGGACACAGAGAGCTGGGAGCCTGACAGAGACAGGTCCAGAGCATCCCCTGCTCCTCCGGCCTGGATGGACGACGGGTTACGGGTAGTGTGCATCCTGACAAGGCCTGGTAGAGGGAGAGAGGAAGAGTCATGATACAGATGGACTTTCAAAAGGCACACACACAAAACTATTGTGAAAACTGATTGGTGCGGTTTGGTCCAAGTTTGGAGGAACAGATGCAGTCAACCACTTCCTCTTCAGCTATTATTGCCCTAGGCAACAGTCACAACTGTAGCACTCAGAGGTAACAGTAACACTTGACTTGAATTCACACCTAAACCACATTTACTCCATTCCCAACTAAATCTATTTCAAATCTTTAGACTTCTTCTAGGCAGATAACCATGATGGTGCAGGTACATTGTATGTCGTTGTTCACTTGGGATTGACAGAATGTGACACTTTGCCTCAAGATCTATCTAGCTTGCTGCCCTGCTTAACAACAGCAGAACAACGGTGTAACATGATTTATTGAACAAGGGATAGCTATCATATCGTTGGCTACAATGTTTCGATGGAATCAGTGTGTATGAGGATATAGTAAAGGTTGGTTGTGCTAAGTGAGGGGGAGAATACAGGTGATAAGGAGCCCCAAAGAACAAAATAGAAATGTTAAAACCACAAATAATCGTATAGTCGGCCATTCAAACTTACCTTGCTTGTGTTATCACAAATTACTCCAAAGCCAATGGTGACGTTTCAGTGAGAATAGCTATTTTTCTTGATGGTGGCACTGATTTATTAAATCAACACACGTTAACAGTAGCCACCTAAAAGCCCAAAGCTAACGTTAACTAGAAGCCAAGAGCCTGTCAAGTGGGTATGCTAGCTTCCTAGAAGCTAGTTTGAACAAGTGGTTGATGCCTAAAATGATTATTTATGTGTAGCCTAACCTTCTCTGTGTGGCGCACTAGGCTGGCTAGCTAGCTTAAGTTAGCTTGCTCTCATCTTTCTCCACATAATAAGCGAGAAGCAACATGTTGGCTACGAAGCAATCAAGCGAAATAACTTCAATAAATCCACTATAGTAGCTAGCTAGCTAAACTAGCTACAAACTGTCAAATACGATAGTCCTTCGTTACCACAGCTCGGTAGAAATATTCCGTGAATTTACTCCATCAACGCAACGAGAGAGTGGCAATAATAACCCGCAACATCTTCTCTGTGGCAACCAGAAAATACAAGAACTCCTCCTACTGAGAACTGTGATTGGCGGTCAAAACACAACGTCCTGGGAATCCAGAGGATCTGATAGGTGGAGTGGAGATGTCGGTTAGCAGTGTCCCAAACGAAATGTTTGGTTGACTTTGCAAGAGGGGGGTGTGACACCCACCACCTGCCCCCAACCAAACCCCAGTTGTCACAATATAACGTTTTAACAAATGTGAAGGCAAAAAATCAGTTTTAAATCAGTTTACTTTAATTCATGGGAGCACTCACCAATGCACGTTTCAACATGGTTTATGGTAATTTGAACATTTGTTTCATTGATTTATTTTCTTCCAAGTAGAACATATGAAAACAAGTAAAATAGACAAAGGTGCAGGACAGATCTGTATGTCAAAAGTACAGCATACAATATAATGTTGGCAACTCTAATAGAACTTCTTTATTTTGGTGGACCAACAACACATAGAAACATACTGGCTACTAGGCTACTAGAACCCCCTTTTTACTGCTGGGCAAAGGTTGGATGGGTGGAAACTAATACAGGGTCTTTAGAGATAACGGACAATATTCACACACAAGACTGTCGGAATAATAGCCTATATGAAGTTAGCCGAGGCCCTAGAGATAGCCTATAATGTAATCATTCGAAAGGAAATATTCATAATTACATTTGACATTTTAGTCATTTGGCAGACGCTCTTATTCAGAGAGACTTACAGGAGCAATTAGGTTAAAGTGCCTTGCTCAAGGGCACATAATTGGTCCTTGTTTGGATTCAAACTTTATATTTGCTGAATAATCAAACTCTATTAAGATACTTTCATTGGCCACAATGTAAAAATAAACATATAATAAACAAGCATCAAAACCAGCATCCCCTTCTTATCTCTTTCTAAACTCTACAGCCATTCTCCACATATCTGCCCCTTTGTCCAGAGTGATGTCCTCTGGTAGGGAGTCAAGCCCAGGCATGGGTGGGAGTCTCTTCTTTTCTAGATGGCTCTCTAGAGTGGACCTGATGCTGTGGACACACACACACACACACACACACACACACACACACACACACACACAACAGCAGGAACGAGGACAAAGAGAGGCAACACAGCATCACACCCCATGTCCTAAGAGCAACAGTTGCATTCCTATTCAGTCCCTAGCCCCAGCTGCTGGTTTAGTAAGGGGGCAGGGGTGACCTGTGCCGGCTGAGGGTATATCACTTAAGTCCCTTTCCCCTGACAGATGGGCGCCGGTAAGGGTCACACCCCGAGCCCTTCGGAGTCAAAAGGGCCCGCCTCATGTCCCAGGGGGATCTCTCTCTGTGTGTCTCTCAGTGTGTGCCCCTGCTTTATTGGGATTGAAAGAAGTGTCCATATAAACAGATTGACAGATTCCTCTGGTCTAAACATCAGTGTGGCCAGGGTGAGGGACAGGGTGCTGAAAATACAAGGGGAACACGTTGTTTGTTGTTATATTTTTTAAGATCAGAAAAATGTATAATCAACATCAAAGTCCTGTCCAAAGGTGGGTAATGATGTTAATGACAGCAGTGCTAATCAAATAATTCAAATGCTTTGTAAATAATGTGTTTTACACATTTGTGCGACATTTGCCCCATACAGATCCTTAATTCAGCCACAAATGGTTAGTGTCTTTGTTTGTTTTGTCAGTTACTCTTAATGACCATAAAAGGTTTGTTATGTCAGTTACTGTTAACAACCATAAAAGGTTTGTTTTGTCAGTTACTGTTAAAAACCATAAGAGGTTTGTTTTGTCAGTTACTGTTAACAACCATAAGAGGTTTGTTTTGTCAGTTACTGTTAACAACCATAAGAGGTTTGTTTTGTTAGTCACTGTGAATGACCATAAGAGGTTTGTTTAGTCAGTTACTGTTAATGACCATAAAAGGGCGTGAGAGCTGGATTGCCAATGTGATGTCGACAATAGCAGAAAGCAGACAAAAAGGCCCTTAGCCCTACTGTGACCTAGGTAGTCTACAGCACACATCTCTCAGTGTTGCCTATCTTTCCCACTAGCTCTAATCTGTATAATAATGCCCTTACTCCCAGTGTGGTAGATAAGCCTGGTCTGAAAAAGCCTGAGTGTTGGTCTTCAGGAGCAGGATTTCATGCAGCTCCAGTGAGAGTATGTCAATGTCTGTCCCACTGAAGAAGACCCTCAGCTCTCTCCTCTCCTCCTCGGATAACTTCTGCTGGAACTCTGATGGCAGCCTCTGGAACGGGTCCTGCAAACACAAGACATCCATATGCAGCAAACACAAGATAAATACCAGTGATATAAGTGATATAATTAGGGATAGAAAAACAGATCCTAGATCAGATTAAATCTCTTAACTCACATCATCAGAAGAGGAGAACAAGACTCGCTTTTCATGAAATCAAATTATGAATCAAATCAAATCAAATTGTATTTGTCACAAGCACCGAATACAACAGGTATAAACCTTACAGTGAAATGCTTACGTAGAAGTTATTTCTCAACGATGCAGAGTTAAATAAGATAAACAAACAAATGAGGAATAAAATACACAAGAATGAAGCTACAGTATATACAAGGAGTACCAGCTGAGATTCAATCAAGCATATGTCAATCCCAAGTATTATTATAATAAACAGAAATTCTGTTTTTTGGATCAACATTTGTTTTTGGTTCAACGCCTGCCATGTCCAATGTCACACGATGCCTGAATTTACACCTCAGATGGAGGCTGACCGCCTGCATGTGGTCCCTGATGTCAACCAGTGGTGGTTAGCAGGGGTCAAGGGTCAGGTAGGTGAAAGGGTTGACCCCATGACAAACTACTAAATGTGGTCACAGGGGGGGAGTTTCACTTCACTGACAGATTTTGTATTGTTGGTTTGGTCTTTAAAAGTGAGCCGGGCTGGGTCTATGCACAGATTCATTGATATGAAAAGATCAGTAGAGATAATGTCATCTCATATCATTCCCACTTATTGTTATGACTAGAACTGGTATATCCAACTAACTGCCTGACTGTTTCACTTTCCACAGTGTAAAACAATAACTCTGGTTATTAACACCAACACTGTGGGTTATTTTACACCACGTGGAGATACAGTTATGGGCTATATGTTAACTCACCCGTAGAGAAACAGGTATAGGCTATATGTTAACTCACCCGTGGAGATACAGGTATAAGCTATATGTTAACTCACCCGTGGACATACAGATATGGGCTATATGTTAACTCACCTGTGGAGATACAGGTATAAGCTATATGTTAACTCACCCGTGGAGATACAGGTATGGGCTATATGTTAACTCACCTGTGGAGATACAGGTATAAGCTATATGTTAACTCACCCGTGGACATACAGGTATGGGCTATATGTTAACTCACCCGTGGAGATACAGGTATAGGCTATATGTTAACTCACCTGTGGAGATACAGGTATGGGCTATATGTTAACTCACCCATGGAGATACAGGTATTGGCAATATGTTAACTCACCCGTGGAGATAAAGGTATGGGCTATATGTTAACTCACCCGTGGAGATACAGGTATGGGCTATATGTTAACTCACCCGTGGAGAACAGGTATGGGCTATGTGTTAACTCACCCGTGGAGATACAGCTATAGGCAATATGTTAACTCACCCGTGGAGATACAGGTATGGGCTATATGTTAACTCACCTGTCCTCTGCTCAGCATTAGCTCAGACTTCCAGCAGGTAAGGAGCTGCCAGGTAAATGTGCTGTGTTCCAGTCTGCACTCTCCAAGGACCTGGGACAGAGACATGAGAGGGGTACAGTCAAAAGGGCCAAAGCAGGGGGACCTCTGTAATAGAGTTGTCTCTCTATTACATACATTTCACATATATTAGTATATTTGTGCCTTAGGAAGGAGAGTCATGAGGAGAGCACATGCATAATCTACCCGGACAAAAATAGATACAAGGAACAAACATTAATCACTGCATCTGCGGGCATTAGGTGGAGACATTGTTGGAGTTAAGATCCTCTACCTTGGCTACACTGCTAGAGATCTGTGGGCCCATCTTGAGCGTCTCAGTCAGGTAGGACAAGAGTGGGACATGGGGCACTCCGCTAGTCTTTCCCAGGAACCGCAGGCCAATCTCCACTGCGAACACAGCGTCACACACATCGGTGTACGAACGCAGTCCTGTCCTCATAGCACCGCTAACGGAACCCTTCAGCGCCTCCTGACAGACAGAAAAACAGATGGAACGGAAGACAGAACGCAAAATAAAGAGACAGACAGACAGAACAACTGTAAGCAGAGAGCTGGGCACAGTGGCGCATAGCTGGGGAGACTGATTACCTCCCAGCCCAGTGAATGGAAACAGAGTTGGGTATGGTGGGTTTAGGAATTTGACCTCGAAACAAAATGGCCCCTTCAAATCCCACAGGGGAAGACTACTGTGTGTGTCTGTACACTTGGCTGGTATTGAATCAATGGGGCCTGGGCTGGGCATGACTTCAATGCTTAAAAAAGCATACAGTCTCAAACTGAGCGCAAATGTATGTTTACCTGAGGTATCTTAGCCCTGACTTCATCAAGGACTACTGAGAAGTCTTGCTGATGTCTGTTCAAGTACCTTGAGGTGTCCTGCAAACACATGCCTGGTTAGTATACTTGCTACTGTAAATGCATATTATTTAATAAAAAATCACATTTATTTTCCTACTAGCAATGACTTTGCTGATAACGACTTTATTGAGGAAAACGTACTTACTATGACTGTCATACAGTATGTGGTTGTCTTACCTAGCTATCTTAAAGATGCAGTCCGGGATCTTAAGCACAACAAGTTCATAACATATTGTACGAATTGGATTCGAAACATATCATAGGAATTGCCCAAAAAAAAAAAAATATATATATATATATATATATATATATACACTACCAGTCAAACGTTTGGACACACCTACTCATTCCAGGGTTTTTCTTAATTTTTTACTATTTTTTACATTGTAGAATAATAGTGAAGACATCAAAACTATGAAATAACACATATGGAATCATGTAGTAACCAAAAAAGTGTTAAACAAATCAAAATATATTTTATATTTGAGATTCTTCAAATAGCCACCCATCACCTTGATGACAGCTTTGCACACTCTTGGCATTCTCTCAACCAGCTTTACCCGAAATGCTTTTCCAACAGTCTTGAAGGAGTTCCCACATATGCTGAGCACTTGTTGGCTGCTTTTCCTTCACTCTGCCGTCCAACTCATCCCAAACCATCTCAATTGGGTTGAAGTCGGGGGATTGTGGAGGACAGGTCATCTGATGCAGCACTCCATCACTCTCCTTCATGGTCAAATAGCCCTTACACAGCCTGGAGGTGTGTTGGGTCATTGTCCTATTGAAAAACAAATGATCGTCCCACTAAGCCCAAACCAGATGGGATGGCGTATCGCTGCAGAATGCTGTGGTAGCCATGCTGGTTAAGTGTGCCTTGAATTCTAAATAAATCACAGACAGTGTCACCAGCAATGCAACCCCACACCATAACACCTCCTCCTCCATGCTTTACGGTGGGAACTACACATGCGGAGATCATCCGTTCACCCACACCGCATCTCACAAAGACATGGTTTTTGGACTCCAGACCAAAGGACAAATTTCCACCGGTCTAATGTCCATTGCTCATGTTTCTTGGCCCAAGCAGGTCTCTTCTTCTTATTGGTGTCCTTTAGTAGTGGTTTCTTTGCAGCAATTCGACCATGAAGGCCTGATTCACACAGTCTCCTCTGAACAGTTGATGTTGAGATGTGTCTGTTACTTGAACTCTGTGAAGCATTCATTTGGGCTGCAATTTCTGAGACTGGTAACTAATGAACTTATCCTCTGCAGCAGAGGTATCTCTGGGTCTTCCATTCCTGTGGCGGTTTCATCATTGCGCTTGATGGTTTTTGTGACTGCACTAGAATAAACTTTCAAAGTTCTTTAAATGTTCCATATTGACTGACCTTCATGTCTTAAAGTAATGATGGACTGTCGTTTATCTTTGCTTATTTGAGCTGTTCTTGGCATAATATGGACTTGGTCTTCTACCAAATAGGGCTATCTTCTGGCTTGTGAGCACCCCTTTCAAAACTACTGGCAGAATTATACAACAGTTCTGGAGTATCACTTCAAGACGAATGCACAAAGTAACTAAGTCGCTCTAGATATGAGCGTCTGCTAAATGACAAAAATGTACATGTAAAAATGTATTATATATATACTAAAGGAGAACAACAGCAAAATATGGATGTTTCTTAGGCACAATAATTGTATCAATATGATATCTCAAAGTTTTGTCTCTTACGGCTTGGATGATTGGTTTCCCAGCTAGGAAGTGGCGGGCCAGTTGTGCCTGGATGTCCATCAGGTTGTAGCAGATTTCTGTCTCCCTGCCTGTCCTCAGTGTGTAATGACAGTGGGATAACACCAGGGGGAGCAGCTCCCTCTCAGGGTGGCACAGGGTCAACTGTGTCTCTGACACCCCCTCCAGAGGAACACTGTAGTCACTGCAGGGGTGTAACAAAAACATCTCACAGTTAAGATTCAGGGCTCAGTCTAGGATCAGTTTGAGAGTAGGAGTGCTGGTCTAGGATCAGTTTAGCCTTTTAAATTATAATGAATGGGATGGGGAACCAGTGCCAATATTCATAAAGTGCCTCAGAGTAGGAATGCTGATGTTATTCATTATGATTTAAATGGGGAAACTGATCCTAGATCAGCACTCCTACTCAGTGTGAGATGTTTTTTGAATGCAGAGTCTTCGAAGCCTATCAAAATGTCAAGGTCCATATTTTAGCCAATCAAATAATCAAAAGTAGAGGTTTGGTGGGTGTGACTAACCTGTTGTCATGGTGACTGAGTCTCCTAACCTCTCTGACCAGGCTGTTGTGAGTCTCTGACAGGAATTGGACCAGAATCTGGAGGCAGGACCCTGGACCGTGACGACTGAGTGACAGGAACTCCCCAGAGCTCTCCATGGTCAGCTCCTTCTCACAAAGCTGTGGTGTCACACCTAAGTCTGCTGCTCAAAACACATGCGATACACACACAGTACACACAGAGTTAGATACAGAAAGGACTATTTTATCCGACAACATTCCCCATACACTGTCCAAATGGACACAAAACAGTGGTTAGTATATAGTGGGGAATAAATGTGCTTTTTGTACATACCGTTGTTGGCCACGTCCATCCTAAGGCAGTTCCACACCTTCATGAAGACCTTCATTCTCCCAAGCAGCACTTTCTTCTGGTACCCTACAGTGGTATAGTTTAGCGACAGTCAAACCATTGACCAATTGGATTGATTGAGTGATCGATCGATTGGTTGATTGATTGATCAACCTGAATAATAACTCCCACATACCTGTTTGTATGTGCTGCAACACCTGGGCAATGGTCTGACTGGTCATCTCAGCTGTCAGGGGAAACATTCTGGACAAGTCAGCCTGTAAGGCAGCCAGCTCTGGTAGATGATGGAGTTGTCTCACACACTGCACCTACAGCGGACAAACACATATACACTACCGTTCAAAAGTTTGGGGTCACTTAGCAATTTTTTTGTCCATTAAAATAACATCAAATTGATCAGAAATACAGTGTAGACATTGTTAATGTTGTAAATGGCTATTGTAGCTGGAAACGGCTGATTTTTAATGGAATATCTACATAGGCGTACAGAGGCCCATTATCAGCAACCATCAGTCCTGTGTTCCAATGGCAAGTTGTGTTTGCTAATCCAAGTTTATCATTTTAAAAGGCTAATTGATCATTAGAAAACCCTTTTGCAATTATGTTAGCACAGCTGAAAACTGTTGTGCTGATTAAAGAAGCAATAAAACTGCCCTTCTTGAGACTAGTTGAGTATCTGGAGCATCAGCAATTGTGGGTTCGATTACAGGCTCAAAATGGCCAGAAACAAATAACTTTCTTCTGAAACTCGTCAGTCTATTCTTGTTCTGAGAAATGAAGGCTATTCCATGCGAGAAATTGCCAAGAAACTGAAGATCTCGTACAACGCTGTGTACTACTCCCTTCACAGAACAGCGCAAACTGGCTCTAACCAGAATAGAAAGAGGAGTGGGAGGCCCCGGTGCACAACTTTTCAAGAGGACAAATACATTAGAGTGTCTAGTTTGAGAAACAGACGCCTCACAGGTTCTCAACTGGCAGCTTCATTAAATAGTACCCGCAAAACACCAGTCTCAACGTCAACAGTGAGGAGGCGACTCTGGGATGCTGACTTAGCCAGAGTTGTAAGGAAAAAGCCATATCTCAGACTGGCCAATAAAAATAAAATATTAAGATGGGCAAAAGAACATAGACATTGGACTTTTTCTTTGCAACTCTGCCTAGATCAGCATCCCGGAGTTGCCTCTTCACTGCCAACCTGTGAGGCGTCTGCAAAATTGCAAAAGGGTTTTCTAATGCTCAATCAGCCTTTTAAAATGATAAACTTGGATTAGCAAACACAACGTGCCATTGGAACACAGGACTGATGGTTGCTGATAATGGGCCTCTGTACGCCTATGTAGATATTCCATTAAAAATCAGTTTTTTCCAGCTACAATAGCCATTACAACATTAACAATGTCTACACTGTATTTCTGATCAATTTGATGTTCTTTTAATTGTCAAAAAATTGCTTTTCTTTCGAAAACAAGGACATGTCTAAGTGACCCCAAACTTTTGAACGGTAGTGTACATACACAGACAAACATGTCTTTAAGCACACTGACAAGTATGGAAACTCTCCCATAACATACTCCATTATCTATAAACAGGTAGTAATGTGGACAACATCATGTCACATGAAGGGCAATATAATGGAATGGAGTGAAACTTTGCTATCAAGTAAAGCAATGTGTGTGAATTTCTTCTGTTGAATCCCATTCTTGAGCAGTTTCACTTCCAGTTACCTTCTTAAGGAAGAGTTTGAGGAGCGGTACGGTGTTGTGTCCCTGCTCCTGGTCCACTCTCTGAGAGAAGTGCTCCACGGTGAGGGATTCAGACAGGCTCCAGAAGGAGGAGTGGTGTGTGGGGCAGTCTGAGGGAGAGGGCAGCAGGGGCAGCATGGGTCGGGGGTCCGCATAGAGTAATCTCATCAGGGGGCTTCCACCCAGCCTTTTATCTGCACTGATACTGTCCTGAGCTTCAGCCAGTTTCCTCCTTAGATGCTGGAGATCAAATGGGTGGGTTAATAGGTACAATAAAACATTGGATGTAGTTTAGTGTCCCAAATCAGTATAGTCCTTCACCAGGCATACTGTATGACTGTGTTAGTCCTTATGTAGGTGCCCTTCAAACCTTAAAATAAAGTGTTACCAAAAACCTAAACTAATCACAGCTTGACCATACCTGGATTATTGGGTTGATAACTGCATCACAGACCAGTTTCTCCCACTGTTCCCGTCCACGTCGAGAGGACAGGTCTGGTCTTGTGTGGCGAGAACCTGGTTCAGCAATGCAAGGACAAGGTGTGATAAGCTGAAGTCACAAACTCTATAAATACTATGAGGTGCAACCATTACATGGCAATATTTTAGACATTTCTTTGTAAGAATTGTGAGGAACTTTTTATTTATATTTTTTATATAACATTTGTAAAACTATTTGTAAAAAACTATTTGTAAAAACAAAATGGAAGACAAGTGTAATCACCTGCAGTGAACTCCAGACAGGCGTGGAGGACCAGATGAACTATAACAGCCGTGTTGTCCATGTTCTGATCCAGTGTCCGACCCAGCACCTCCATGTCCTTCTCAAGGTGGCTCCACAGGAACCCCCGGACATCTTGGACACCAGGGTGTATCATCTGACTGACTGCCTGCACAGACACAAAGAAACATTATTTTTATCATCACACAGTTAAATTAACCAACATAATGGCTTCATGTGTTGCCCATTTCAACAGTTGATAATTCCTTGAGATATTGTCCAGAAGTGATCATTGTACTTCCGAGCACAGGTTTCTTGTGATGCCTAATCCAACTACTTGATGTTAGCTTGAGATATTGGTCAGGCCTTACCTGGTAGTTTTTTATGGTCCCTTGCAGCATGGCCAGATGGTTGAGCAGTCGAAGGATGCAGGACTGGGCTGTTGACATCTGTCTCTCTGGGGCCTCAGACCTACGATAAACCTCTCCCAAAACGTGCCCCGTCCTGGTCTGATCCCCCACACTAAATTCACACACAGAGATCAAAGGTCAATGTGGCATTAACTCATTAACTAGATTTCTCAGTTGTATATTGGGAGAGACAGTTAAGCAAAGGACCTTTGCTGAGCAGGAGTAAATCCAGCAACTGGGTTATGACCTTGACCACCAATTGGAACACCGCAGTCAGGGCATTTGGATATTGCCACTGGTTTCCCGCACTAAGATAAAGAAGAAGAACAGTGTCAAATCTATAGGAATAAAATGCTAAATGAGATACAAAAGAAACAAGAAAGGATCCCTCACCTCTCCAACAGAACACGCATGACCGTTGGCACAAACTGCAATCAAAATAGTCAAATGATTAAGTACTACTGCATATCAACAAGCAATGATGATGTCAAAAGCAATACCACGAGAATACATTTGCCAGCAAATACTTACAGTACCACTTGATGTTGCCCTCTTTAGTCATCCACTGGCGAGCCTCACTAGTGTGATCATCTGGCATGGTGGGCAAATAGGAGCCCTGTGGGACAACTGGTTATCAGTCTCAATGATCTTATTACAGTATCTACCCCAGCCCCTACCCCACTTGTGGAGATAGCCCTTACCCCTTAGTCACAAGTGCCAAGGGGGTAGGGGCTAGGGGTTCATTTGTTATTCAGGGTATCAGAGAAAAAGAGTGCCTCACCGTCATATTGTGAGGCTGGGAGGCTATCTGGTGGAGTGGAGCCAGCAGTGTAGTCCCACTGAGGAGCACAGCGCATGCATGGACCAGGAGCTCCAGCAGGAGGCGCCGTTGAGCTGGAACAGTCTGGGTGATCTGGAGAGGAGAGTCTGGTCCACCTATCTGATTGGATAACAGCGCTGTGCAGAGCTTTCTGAATTCACCTGATAGGCTGTGCTTCAGGAAGTCATCCAGTTTCCTTGTCTCCTGTAATGAGAGAATCATGTTACAATTTCTTTCAGAAGGCAGGGGGGAATTCTATTTCATACCACATGAGTTTATAACAATAAGGGGCAGTTTCCCAGACACAGATTGACCTTAGTCCTGGACTAATAAGCGAGTTCGATGGAGAATATCCATTTAGAATGCTTTTTAGTCAAGGACTAGGCTTAATCTGTGTCCAGGAAACCCGCACAGAGTTTACTATAAATTGAGAATGGTCACCTGTGGAGTGGGGTGAATTTTGGAATCAGGTGATGCGAAGCGACAGGTGACCTGTCTGAACGAGGCCAGGACCAGGAGAACTTGGGCTGAAGCTTTGGAGCAGCTCAGATTCTACAGAAGAAACAGAGACAGAACACAGTCAGTCAATGATTATCTTGAATTATTGAATGCACCAGAGCACATAATTAAATAGAACATTTACATTGACATTTTAGTCGTTTAGCAGATGCTCTTATCAAATAGACATACAATCTAAAGTAGGTAACACTATTAGATCACTATTTTTAGAACACTATGATAAACTACTGCATCTCTATGTTCCAGGGATGTGTGGAAAGGACTCTGACCTGCAGCGTTGTCCGGAGGGGGTCAGTATGAGCCTCAAGCAGGGCCTGAGCCACCCCGTCCCTCAGGGCCTGGTACAACGGACCACAGCACAGGAACCGGTCCACCTCTGCTGGAATCAGCCTCTGAGAAAAACACCATGTGAAAATAGGATAGGTAAAGGGCCTATAAAGTGTATCCAGCATTTGGCCAACAAGTATTCATTATTCATTTCATTTGATAGGATGATCAAGATCGACCTTGCATCTTGCAGGTACCTCATTATTGTTATGTTTGCCCGCTGATGTGTGTCACCATGGTTAATGCAAGAGGAGATCATAATAGGCTTACTCAACTAGATGGAATAGCAAACAATTTCACTGTAAGTAACTAGAAATAATATAATATCCAGTCTGGTTGTACCTGGAGTCGGAGGACCTCTGAAGGGAAGGCCCATCCCCAGGATGAGGATCTGTGCATCAGGGCCAGGACACAGTCTATCCCCGCCTGCCTATTGACCGCTCTCAACAGGAACACTCTGTACCAGTCGTTACCTCCGTACTCACACACTGCCTTCACCTGAGACAGGTACTGAGCCTCCACATCCCCCCCTGCCCCACCAGCAGTATCTGTAAATGTAGTTCATATTTAATAACAGAATGTAAACTATGTAACAGAGGGAGCATAACAATATGCAATGCGAAAAAATCTATAAAAATATGTTTTCAAAAATAAGAAAAAAGAGACAAAAAACAATGAAGTAACCTCATATAATATTCACAATGCTTCCAGTTGAATAAAGGTACTACAGTCTAGGCTATGTTAATGACGATAAAAGGCTCAATCCCCAATTTAAGTGACAGTAAATCCCCAGTTTGCTATATAACTCACCCTGGGCCACAGCCTTCTGTAGCAGGTGGGCAGCGGTGCCCAGGCAGAGCCTCAGACGAGCCAGGCTCAGCAGGAACTCAGCTGGGTCCTCCAGTCTCCCAGGGGTCTGCTTCCTGGCAAGCCTGCCCAGGAACCGTGTGTCCTCCTGCAGTCTCCTCTGCTGCGCTCTCCCCTCCTCCACCACTAAACCTCCGGAACACTGCAGGGAGTCCTGACACACAAGAAACAGTCAATCAATCAATCAACCACCCCCCCAAAAAATAAAACAATCAAATAAAATAAACAAATAACACTCTTTTATTAATAGCACTGCCTTTGCTGATGCAGCCCAATGCATCCATTTAAATCTCAATATCAAATAATTTCTGGGTAACAATTCAGTACCTGTAATAGTTTTCCATTAAAATGGTAAAAAATAAACAATAATAGCTTATTAGCCAAATAAATCTTTCTCAAGCAAGAATTTGGCTAGGACTGTCTGGGAGTTGTCTGGGAGTAGGGCGGGAAAGGGCACCAAAGCGGGTGATTAGAAGATCCTGAGTATTTTGCATTTTCAACCAGAAACTATGCGGAAATAGAGTGGGGAAATATAGTATTTAGTCAGCCACCAATTGTGCATGTTCTCCCACTTAAAAATATGAGAGAGGCCTGTAATTTTCATCATAGGTACACGTCAACTATGACAGACAAAATGAGGGAAAAAAATCCAGAAAATCACATTGTAGGATTTTTAATGAATTTATTTGCAAATTATGGTGGAAAATAAGTATTTGGTCAATAACAAAAGTTTCTCAATACTTTGTTATATACCCTTTGTTGGCAATGACACAGGTCAAACGTTTTCTGTAAGTCTTCACAAGGTTTTCACACACTGTTGCTGGTATTTTGGCCCATTCCTCCATGCAGATCTCCTCTAGAGCAGTGATGTTTTGGGGCTGTCGCTGGGCAACACGGACTTTCAACTCCCTCCAAAGATTTTCTATGGGGTTGAGATCTGGAGACTGGCTAGGCCACTCCAGAACCTTGAAATGCTTCTTACGAAGCCACTCCTTCGTTGCCCGGGCGGTGTGTTTGGGATCATTGTCATGCTGAAAGACCCAGCCAGGTTTCATCTTCAATGCCCTTGCTGATGGAAGGAGGTTTTCACTCAAAATCTCACGATACATGGCCCCATTCATTCTTTCCTTTACACGGATCAGTCGTCCTGGTCCCTTTGCAGAAAAACAGCCCCAAAGCATGATGTTTCCACCCCCATGCTTCACATGAGGTATGGTGTTCTTTGGATGCAACTCAGCATTCTTTGTCCTCAAAACACGACGAGTTGAGTTTTTACCAAAAGTTATATTTTGGTTTCATCTGACCATATGACATTCTCCCAATCCTCTTCTGGATCATCCAAATGCACTCTAGCAAACTTCAGACGGGCCTGGACATGTACTGGCTTAAGCAGGGGGACACGTCTGGCACTGCAGGATTTGAGTCCCTAGCGGCGTAGTGTGTTACTGATGGTAGGCTTTGTTACTTTGGTCCCAGCTCTCTGCAGGTCATTCACTAGGTCCCCCCGTGTGGTTCTGGGATTTTTGCTCACCGTTCTTGTGATAATTTTGACCCCACGGGGTGAGATCTTGCGTGGAGCCCCAGATTGAGGGAGATTATCAGTGGTCTTGTATGTCTTCCATTTCCTAATAATTGCTCCCACAGTTGATTTCTTCAAACCAAGCTGCTTACCTATTGCAGATTCAGTCTTCCCAGCCTGGTGCAGGTCTACAATTTTGTTTCTGGTGTCCTTTGACAGCTCTTTGGTCTTGGCCATAGTGGAGTTTGGAGTGTGACTGTTTGAGGTTGTGGACAGGTGTCTTTTATACTGATAACAAGTTCAAACAGGTGCCATTAATACAGGTAACAAGTGGAGGACAGAGGAGCCTCTTAAAGAAGAAGTTACAGGTCTGTGAGAGTCAGAAATCTTGCTTGTTTGTAGGTGACCAAATACTTTTGCAAATAAATTCATTAAAAATCCTACAATGTGATTTTCTGGATTTTTTTCCCTCATTTTGTCTGTCATAGTTGACGTGTACCTATGATGAAAATTACAGGCCTCTCTCATCTTTTTAAGTGGGAGAACTTGCACAATTGGTGGCTGACTAAATACTTTTTTTCCCCACTGTAACACCTGATAAAAAAATAATCACACTTTTACAGTGTTAGTTTAATCAGCTGTTGTACAATATGACACAAAACACAGGAAAAACAGATTTTTGACTGCACTGGGCCTTTAAGATGAATGCACTAACTGTAAGTCGCTCTGGATAAGAGCATCTGCCAAATGACTAAAATGTAAATGTCATTCATGTGTAAAGTAATAGTGTAGAAGTCTGTGTAACCTGGAAGCAGTTGACAAAGAGCAGGTAGAGCTCAGTGTGATCCTCCCTCTCCAAGATGTTCTTCTCTAGGCTCTGTAAGTAGTTCTGGATGTGACCTTTCACCTGCTCAAAACTGAGACAAATACAATGACAATGTGAGGAAATGGCTCCTCACCTAAAGACATTCTGGTTTTATTATATTTGCTCAAAGTATTTATTAGATGTGCTTGCTGAAAGCCAATAACAACTTTAGAAATGCTTCATACTTATTAGGTGTGCTTGCTGAAAGCCAAGCACAACTTTAGAAATTATTCTTACTTCTTATTATTTGCCTTCCGCTGCCAACAGTAGCGCCAAAACCGTAAAAGCTACCAACACATAAAAAACATTTTGATAATACTTATACTTTTCACACTACAACCATATTTGCATAAATCCCAATGCATTTCAATGGCTATAGACTTGAATAGACTTCAACTGTTTAAGCTAGAAACGCCATTTAAAACCTGCAGACTGGTCCGGAATAAGTTGCTTGTATACAGCTTTTTGATACCATTTTAACTTTTTGAACTATAACAGTTTTAAATGTGCATAAAAGCTCCATAGGCTTGAATGGGAAGTGTTTGGATTTGCCACTGCTTTTGAACCGTTAAAGCTACAAAACACCAAACCAACATTGACATGTACAGACTGACTCAACTTACAGTGGCTTGTGAAAGTATTCACATCCTTGGCATTTTTCCTATTTTGTTGCCTTACAACCTGGAATTAAAATTGATTTTTGGGGGGGGGGGGGGGGGGTTGTATCATTTGATTTACACAACATGCCTACCACTTTGAAGATGCAAAATATTTTTTTTGGGTGAAACAAACAAGAAATAAGACAAAAAAATGAAAACTTGAGCGTGCATAACTATTCACCCCCCCAAAGGCAATACTTTGTAGTGCCACCTTTTGCAGTAATTAAAGCAGCAAGTCTCTTGGGGTATGTCTCTATAATCTTGGCACATCTAGCCACTGGGATTTTGCCCATTCTTCAAGGCAAAACTGCTCCAGCTCCTTCAAGTTGGATGGGTTCCGCTGGTGTACAGCAATCTTTAAGTCATACCACAGATTCTCAATTGGATTGAGGTCTGGGCTTTGACTAGGCCATTCCAAGACATTTAAATGTTTCCCCTTAAACCACTCGCGTGTTGCTTTAGCAGTATGCTTAGGGTCATTGTCCTGCTGGAAGGTGAACCTCCGTCACAGTCTCAAATCTCTGGAAGATGGAAACAGGTTTCCCTCAAGAATTTCCCTGTATTTAGCGCCATCCATCATTCCTTCAATTCTGACCAGTTTCCCTGCCGATGAAAAACATCCCCACAGCATGATGCTGCCACCACCATGCTTCACTGTGGGGATGGTGTTCTCGGGGTTATGACAGGTGTTGGGATTGCACCAGACATAGCGTTTTCCTTGATGGCCAAATAGCTCAATTTTTGTCTCATCTGACCAGAGTACCTTCTTCCATATGTTTGGGGAGTCTCTCACATGCCTTTTGACGAACACCAAACGTGTTTGCTTATTTTTTTCTTTAAGCAATGGCTTTTTTTCTGGCCGCTCTTCCGTAAAGCCCAGCTCTGTGGAGTGTATGGCTTAAAGTAGTCCTATGGACAGATACTCCAATCTTCACTGTGGAGCTTTGCAGCTCCTTCAGGGTTATCTTTGGTCTCTTTGTTGCCTCTCTGATTAATGCCCTCCTTGCCTGGTCCATGAGTTTTGGTGGGCGGCCCTCTCTTGGCAGGTTTGTGGTGGTGCCATATTCTTTCGATTTTTTAGTAATGGATTTAATGGTGCTCCGTGGGATGTTCAAAATTTCTGATATTTTTTTCTTCTGATCTGTACTTCTCCACAACTTTGTCCCTGTCCTTTTTGGAGAGCTCCTTGGTCTTCATGGTGCCGCTTGTTTGGTGGTGCCCCTTGCTTAGTGGTGTTGCAGACTCTGGGGCCTTTCAGAACAGGTGTATATATATTGAGATCATGTGACACTTAGATTGCACACAGGTGGACTTTATTCAACTAATTATGTGACTTCTGAAGGTAATTGGTTGCACCAGATCTTATTTAGGGGCTTCATAGCAAAGGGGGTGAATACATATGCACGCACCACTTTTCCGTTATATATATATTTTTAAATTTTTAAACAAGTTATTTTTTTCATTTCACTTCACCAATTTGGACTATTTTGTGTATGTCCATTACATGAAATCCAAATAAAAATCAATTTAAATGACAGGTTGCATTAAAATAGGAAAAACGCCAAGGGGGATGAATACTTTTGCAAGGCACTTTTGCAATTGCTCGTCAAAAGATTGTTGATGCTGTTTGTACTTTTTGAACTATAACTGTTTTAAATATGCATAAAAGTTCCATAGACTTCAAAGGCAACATTTTGATTCGCCACTGCTCTTGAAGCGTTTCAACTGTTGACTCAACTTAGATTTCTTCAACACAGCTTTTTGCTACCATTCATATTTCATAAACTATAAAGCTTTTTGTATCCCCATTCATTTCAATGGTGGAGTGCAGCCTTTAACATTATAAACTAAAATCACTGCCACAACACTTTCAGAATGTTCAAACTAAAATATTTGAGAGCTAACATTATATGGCTTATGATGCTACGGTACTCACTCTAGCCTACTATACTATCCCACTATAACCCACTATAATAACTCCACACCTACAAACCACCTCAAAATACAATATGTCACTATAACTAACCCATAGCCTATGAAAACTCTATTATTAACAATACTACTACTACCATTACCAATGCCATGACTACCACTGCTACAACTATTTCACAACCATAAATACTTAAAAACTAGCAAGCACACACATCTACTTCAGGAAAAGTCATTTTCTAGTTACTACTGTGATGCATAATTGCCATGGTAATTTGGAATGTTCAGTCAATGAGCATTATGGGTAATGTAGTTATTCTACAGTTTCCCTTTAGGAGTATGCATTGTGCAGACATCACTGTTTCCCAAAGATACAAACATTCCAAAAACTACAAAAACTAAGAAAAAAGCAACAACTAAAAAAACACACAATGTAATATAATGTGGCCTATGGACAACACTTTTTTGTTTTGCTTAAAAATAAGACCCTGTCGCAAGTTTGTGGCTTACTGTATTATATTATAGACTAGTGGCACCCCGCCCTTACGCGTGGCAAATCATTAATAATTTAATTCAATGCAATTCCCCACTCCTTCAAATCTCTTCAGGTTTTTGGTGTCTAGATATGCTGCTATTATTGTCAATTCAGTAGCATAAAAAAATAGCTCTCTCTTTTTTCTCTGTAAGCCAAAAAAACTGCACCAGGATCGCCTCCTGCAAGAATTGTTCATTTTTCTCCCAAAAGAAAAATGCTCAAAAGAGGTGCCTGGTCCCGTGACATAGCACTGGCCACTTTATATTCCTCTGTGTTTTGTATCTTTGTTTATTTTCACAGTTTTTTGTTTTGGAGTGTCCGGTATCCCTAGGTTACCGTGCTGTCACAATACATTTCACATTTTAGTCATTTAGCAGACGCTCTTATCCAGAGCGACTTACAGTTAGCGAGTGCATAACTTTTTCATACTGATGATGTATGCATTTGTAGGCCAATTTGCAAACCGAAGAATGACTACTTTACCCATAATTCTTATCTGCTTCCATTCCATTTTTTGATGTTATGTAAATGCTTCATAATGGATGCAACATAATGCTTTTGGTAGAAACCTCAATGACCTAACGTTATGGCTCTGCAAAACAGGTGTTAGAGGTAGACAACTACATATCTTATGGCCCTGTAGCTGTCCGGTTTTCCCCAACTCTAACAAATTCTCAAATCCTTTCAAATAAAGCAAGGTTCATAATGAGTCAAATTAGCACTACTAATGCCTTAAAAATAGGACCACACTGGACCGGGGGAAATTTGATTCAAAAGATTGAATTTCCAAGAGAAAGCAAGTGCAATGAAATGTTTTAGTTTTTTTATGCTTCAGAGTTTTAATTTAATTAAATCAATATTCTCTGGAGAATATTGACTTAACCCCTGTAATAATACAGCTTATTAAAATTATGATATTAAGGAATGGCCAGTAACACAAGAGTCATGAATACAAAACCCCTTAAATAATGCCTACTATATGGCTAACACGGCATAATAAACACGGCATAATAAAGGTATAATCTACTTATTAGTGGCTAATATAATAAGAAAGAAAGAAAGTCACACACTCTATATATGCGCCCAACAATTTAATGGGTAAACCTCATTACCAACGTTTCGGTAGCGCAGTGCCTTCTTCAGGGTTGGTTAATATGTGTACCTGATAAAAATATAGTGTTACCCATGTTTTATTGATAGGAAAGATAGAAGAGGTGACAGGAAAGTGTGTCACATAGGCAGTACCCATGCCAACACCACATGTGCTCTGGGGGCTGCGGCACTAACCACTAACCACTACACCATAATGACATTTGATTTTGCATTCTTATACAGCTTTCAAAGCTAAAGGATATGTCATTTGTCAAATATTAAAAGGGCAATCTGGAATGGTACAACCATTTTCAGACTTAAATTAAAGACACACACCAGCTATTTTTGTGTTTTTTAGACACAACTGCAAACTTTGAGAGTTTGCCATTAAAGAAGTTGGTCTGATGGGTTTACTCGGATGTCATCTGACTCCCCCTTGCTTGTGGGAACAATAGAGGAGCAATCGAGAACAAAAGAGGAAAGGCCCACCCCCCTTTGTGCCTTGTCATGAGGATACCTGGACCACCTATTGAGATGTGACTTTTGTTAAGTAATTCAGGTGATAAATGAAAAGGAGACTGGAGTGCATCTTTAAAGATATATAGCCATTCATTCTAGAAGAATATAACTTAAAATGACTCATGAGCTTAGTGCAACTGTCCTGCTTCACCACAAGCCAAAATATAAGCTTGTTTTAATTGTAAGGCAACATTGTAAACCTTACAAAACATGGTTAAAGCTATCAGTCACTCCTTGCACCTAAAGCTCTGTCTATGAATTTGAGTTACATTTCTCCAGCCCTATCCCTCAGCTGTTTACCAAAGCAGGGTGTGCGTTTGTTTGAATCTCTTATTGCCCCTTGAATGAATAGGTAAATATATTTCAAGTTATCCATCTTCACAAATAAATCAATACAATAGTAATGCCCATTGAAAACAACACTCACTGAGGAAGATGTGCCCAGGGAACAGGGGAGCGGATCTGGGGTAACTCAAAGACTTCATTGCACATCCAATACTGGATAGAATTTTAGGCAATAGGCTACCTCCTTCCCCACTCTTGTTCTCCCAGGGCACGTCAGCCTTTACTTTGAAAGAGAAATCTCCCGAACGAATAGTACATGAACTCAGGCTGCCAATAAAACACGCCCTTGATTGTAAGAATCAATTATTTAAATGGTAAGAAACACCAGAATGAACAAGGCGCTCAGCATATAAAGGGAGCCGAACAAACCCTGCCCATTATCAAAAATGGAATCTGTGTCAGTGGGGTAGACAGTGGGGTCGACAGTAGGACAGATGTAACTGCTGTCAGCATCTACCCCACTGGATGTAAACTCCACAAAGCCTGGCTTGTCGGTGCTGATCTGGAAGTCGATCCAGGACTGGTAACGGGACACTCTGGTGTAGACCCCAGGGAGATTGGGCCGAGCGCAGCCATTACCCCAACTAACAACCCCAGACTGGACCCAGACAGAGTTCTGTTTAACCACCATTGGACCTCCTGAGTCACCCTGAGAAGATAGAGCAAGGTAAGTCTCTCAAAGTAATTTTAAAAAGGCACGTGCTAGGAAATGGATTGGAACAGGACCCAGTTTTTCAAAAGTTATCTGATCGGATTTCATGCATGGAAAGAGAATAAATAGGATGGGCGTATCATTGAGTTGAATGGGGATGCCAGTTCTATGAATTGTATTTATTTTTTTGGGGGGGTGTAAACCCGGAAGCCAGCTGCACCAATGTGCCGGAGGAAACACTGTTCAACTGACAACCAAAGTCAGCCTGCAGGCGCCCAGCCCGCCACAAGGAGTCGCTAGAGCGCGATGAGCCAAGTAAAGCCAAGTAAAGCCCCCCGAAATTCGATCAGATAACTTTAGAAAAACTAGGCCCAGGAGAACAAGAAGATAGGTTAGCATGGACTTTACCTGACATGAGTCCTTGCCCCCTTCCAGAACACCAGCACAGAGCATGTTGTCTGTGATTGAGCCAACCCCATTGAGGCAGTTACACTGTGTGTTCCCCACAACTGGAACCTCCACTTCTTGCAGAGTCTGGGGTGGGGGAAGGGGATCTGAAGGACACAAAGGAAGACTAGTGATGGGAGATCTTTAAATTGTCATTTAAATTGTAATAATAACAACAAAAATCAATGTGCACTTATGGCCACTGGGGATACTGTTTCACATAAGACATAATCTCATCAACATCTCCTATAATGGATAATTAACGTGTCCTCACGTCCTTCATTGGCGTCGCCCCATCCGGTCACCCAGCTCTCTGTGTCACTGTGGAAAACACTGTCACTTGCTGCCAGACAGACGGGAAAGATGTAGTCAGTGAAGTTGACTGGTGAGGAGAGTTTGAGCAGAGCGATGTCGTTGTCTTTTGTGCTTCCATTGTAAGCTGGATGTATAACGATCTCAGCCACAGTTGTGGACACTTCGTTGGGGTTACTGCCCTGCTGGTTCTGTCGACCAAGGATAATGCTCCAACCATTTGGGCTTGAGCTTTGTTGGAATGATAAAATTAAGACATATCAAAGTGACAAAATGAAAGATTAACACAGAATGAATGGACAATTACATTTTGGAAAACTTATTTCAGCTGCATTACAAAACAATTGACATAGTCCTTTGTGCTAGAACCTTTATGTTCCCTGTATCTCACGCTAACTCACCTGGAGAAGCAGTGGGCTGCAGACATCACCCACTCTTTGTTGACGAGGGACCCACCACAAACGTGGCTGCCAGATTCTTGGAGGCTTGCCTGCCAGGGCCAACTTCCTGCAGGGGCATCTTGACCTCCCACTATTCTGGTGTTGTGTGGAGTGATGCCACACACTGACATAAAATAGAGAATATTGGAAATAAATACTCCACATTTGCCATTGGAATTAGATGAACAATTTTGATTGGAAACGTATAGTGTGATATCTGCACCTGGATTTCAGCCAAGCTGATTTTAGATGAAAATACAAGGTCAGCAACTCATGTTAAGCAGTTGAAATGGCAATGGCTGGTGCTTTGCTTGTAGTGAATGGTACCGTTGTAGACAAGGATGAAAACCGTTATCTGATAATAATTCAATAATGTTATATGCCACCCCGCACTGAGCTGAGTGATGAAAGGAAATGTTTCCGCAATTTTAGTCTTAAAGTTTTAACACAAGCTTTACGGAAAGTCCTGTGAAGTAAGCCATGCATGGAATGCGAGTATAAAACTATAAAATGAATGAAAACAGTTCTGTTCCAAAATAGGTACTTTTCAAGTGATATTAACGCAGTATAAATTGAATTGAAGTGTGTGAGCTATTTTAGGACGTTTTTATTTGTACCTGTATAACATCAGCTTGTTTGCACTGCAGTGGGAGGTGTGGGAATATCTGAGGTGTGTCCTTAAAAACATGTGCCAAAGTGCCAATTTCAGGCAGCGCAAGTAAGGACATTTAAGACCCACCTAAATCGTCTCTTAACGGTAACGCATTTTCCAGGCTACATATATAACATAACATTTCATTAAGATGAGAGATGGTTTCAGTCAGTTACAATTCAGTCTGTCAGAGAGGAAGTGGATTAAAATCAGTTATTGGAGGTAATGTAAACTCACCAGTGGTTGTTGATGTGGTGGCTGGAGGGATATTAATGCCTGCAGGGAATAGACAGAGAGGTTGAAAACTGAGCACGAGCACTTCCTGTAAAGCCCTGTAGCCCCAAAATATGAGACTGTGTATTTTATTTAAGCGCTTCAAATCTCACTATTGTGTCATGCTGCCAACACCCGTTGATTTAAAAGTTATTTAGTGACATTTTAAGAGTAATTATCACCTCAATAGCAACAATGATAGTCATAATGATATTAGCTCTCATACAAAAACGTGGTTTGGGCTTTTAGATGTCGGTAGTCATTTGTTTGAATGAGAAGTACCATACACATCCAAAACCATTCTGTTCGTGATCCACTCAAAATTCATCACTGAGCCAGGAGGCCCAAAGGTAAACTAGGGCTGACCCCAAAGATTTGATCAGTTTTACTCTTGACTTTTTGCTGTTTCTAGTATTGCTAATAATGTTTAGCAGAGCAATCAACCACAACAACCACTTCCAGAGGAGTGCCAAGGAAGCCCACAATGTGTCTGCTGCAGAGGGACAGGACAAATCCATTAGAACATTTGATCAGTCATAGTATTGACTTTATAACTAACATGCACTCTAAATAAACACTTTTGACATCATCTAGGTGCATCATGTGATTATAAACAACAATAAATAGGCAACGGTTAGCTACTTTCCTAAATTAAACAATGCATGGAATGAGTGTATAAAAAAGCTATATATATATATATATTTAAACAGTTATGTTCCAAAATCGTTCATTCTATGTCACTGATCTTCGTGAGTGATATTGTCGCAATTTAAGTTGAATTGAAGTGTGCAAGTTATTTTCTGACATTTATAGGCCAAGTTTTCAAACTTGCATTCCCACGCATTATTTCTGTAGAATAAGGAAGTAAAATCGATGAATATGTGCTAGTTAATTAACTACCAGCTATGCCTCTAAGACTAAGTGCTCTGCTATGCCTCTAAGATCTCTGCTTGTTTCATGTTATTTATAAGTATCACATGATGGTTTCAGTCTTTTACAATTCAGTCAGAGTTGAAAAGTGGATTAAAATCAGTTATTAGAGGTAATGTAATGTAAACTCACCAGTGGTTGTTGATGTGGTGGCTGGAGGGATATTAATGCCTGCAGGGAATAGACAGAGAGGTTGAAAACTGAGCACGAGCACTTCCTGTAAAGCCCTGTAGCCCCAACATATGAGATTGTGTCTTTTATTTAAGTGCTTAAAGTCTCACTGTTGTGTCAAACTGCCACCACCGGGGGGGAATCAAGGTCAGCTAAATTAAATTCATATGTAAAATACTAACACAATCATCATTATACAAAGCAGATAAAGTCCTTACTCATCATGAACAGAAGCAGCACAATAACCTTTATTTGATTTCCCCATTGTCACAAACTCCTTGTCCATTCCAATCTAGGAGAAAAAATGATTATCATCATCATCATATCCATGAATATCATTATCCTCTCCAATTTGTATTCACTGACATTTAACATTTTGCATTCTACAACCAAATATGTAAGATGAGCTCACCTGTTTCTGTGCATTCACCCGTTCTTCTGCGTAGTCCCGTTGGGTTGGCACTATAGGCTTATATGTACGACATATTTATACTGTTAGGCAGGTGAGTAAGTTGTAATGTGGCATTGGGGATGATCCCATATGACGTTTAATGCAGGTGTGGCAAGTGCATTCACATATTCCTTTTTTTTTTTTTTTTGTTATCTTAGAGCAGCTCACCTGTTTCTCTGCGTTCTCTCTTTCAACTATATAGTTGGCATTATGCGTATGTCTCTTAATCTTGAGCTACACTAGGGGAGTCAAGAAAACCGTAGTTTTTTTACCTGCTAAACTAGGGGCCCTATTTTCGGCCTGTGTTAAGGCAGTGCTAGTGTCCAACGCACGCTCTTTGGCAATTTCGACTTGTAAAAGCCTGCGCTCTGCTATTCTCCAAACCTGGCGCCAGGGTTGGTAATTTACCTGTCTTATATCAGCTTGCTTGCGCTGAGGTGGGAGGGGTGGAAATATTTGAGATGTGTCCTTAAAAACGTGTGCCAATATGCCAATTTCAAGCAGCGATACTGGTGATATTTAACACTCACCAAAAGCTGGTCTTAGTGGTAACACAATTGGTTTCGGCATCGATTTTGCCAGCTTAGGAACGCAATAGCCTAGTAGCCTATAACCAATGTTCTATTAAAATATCATGAGCAGTAAAACTGTCAACAGACATTCACGTTTTTCTTTATATTGGACATTATTTTTGTCCATGCAGCTTCTGTGAAAAGTTTGGACTCATTAGGCCTATGTGTGACACCCATTGAAAGAAAGGTGTCAGTGACTGTAGGAAGTCTGTTTAGGAACATCAAGGTATTACAATAGACAGCTTGCATCTTCCCCTTTCATCTGTTGGACCTACAGTGAGCTCCAAAGGTATTGGGACAATAAAACCTGTTTTGTTGTGTTGGCTCTGTACTCTAGCACTTTGGATTTGAAATGATACAATGACCATGAAGTACAGACAGTCAGCTTTAACTTGAAGGTATTTTCATCCATATCTGGTGAACCGTTTAGAAATTACAGCATTGTTTGTACAAAGTCCCCCATTATAGGGGACCAAAAGTATTGCGACAAATTCACTTATGTGTATTAAAGTAGTAAAAAGTTAAGTATTTGGTCCCATATTCATTGCACGCAATGAGTACATCAAGCAAACTTGTTGTATGCATTGGCTGTTTGTTTTGGTTGTGTCTCAGATTATTTTGTGCCCAATAGAAACGAAATGGTAATGTACTGTGTAATTGTGGAGTCACTTTCATTGTAAATAAGAATAGAATATGATTCTAAACACTTCTATATTAATGTAGATGGTACCATGACTACAGATAGTCCTGAATGAATCGTGAATAATGAGAAAGTTACAGATGCACAAATATCATACCCCCAAGACATGCTAACCTCTCAATATCATTGGGGGGGGGGTTATGATATTTATGCCTCTAACTTTCTCACTCATCATTATTCACTACTTATACAGGATTATCATCCACATTAATTTATACAACAGGTGGGTCTAATCCTGAATGCTGATTGATTAAAACTGCATACCAGCTGGTGTCTATTTCACAAGTTACCACAGGCTAAATCTATGACGTTGAAATGCCTGAATGCGCAATCCACGGTCTCATCAACCCTGCCAGAAAATGTATAAACTTGATCTCCACTATAAAAAGCATCTAGACATTATCTTCCATTTCTTTTAGACAAGCATTTGGTTTTCAACAGCAGAGGTTTGTATAAACCTTGCTGTCTGTCTCTCCGACCTTTTCAATATTGTTTCAATATTGAATTGCGATCTCCACCATCCCATATAAAGCCAATGTGTCTGAAGGAGACAGACAGCAAATTTAGCTGGTTGTCATAGCAACATACAACTTTTTTTCATTTGACTGGCTAATTCGATACTTTGTTGCGAAAACTAAAACGGATGAGTGGCACATTTTTTAAAAATATTTTCGGCAGCATGACTATGGATGAATGGGAAAAAGAGATGGCAATAATACCCAGGTATGCAGATTTGGGGGATACTGCATTGAATGACCTAGAGAAAAGACGCAACGAAAAAAACACTGTTAAGAATACAAACTGGGCTGTGCGGTGCTTCGAGGCCGGCTAGCAGAGAAGAAAAATTTTGTTGACTTCAAAACTGTCACTAAGGAAGAGTTTAACATCCTTCTCCGACAGTTTTATGGAAATGTAGGAAATGGGAAGGGGGAGTACAGTATAAGCAGCTACCTGGCACTCTGGAGTGGGCTCAACCAGTTTCTAAATGACGCACTCATTGGTCACAGCTTATGATGGACACTGAATGTACCACCTCGATTCATGCATTTCTGGGCAACATCAAACAGCTAAGAAGGCAAGGAAATTATATTACAAACAGCAACCCTCCCATCACCGATAAGGACATGGCCCAGCTCCAAAACTCCCAGGCTCTGAATCCCGGTACATCAAGGGGTCTGGTTCAGAAAGTGTGGTTCGACCAGTTACATCTGGGTCGAGGAGGAAAAGAGGGGAACAGACAACTAAAGCCCAACTCATTCCTCGTAAAAACAGATGAGAACGTTCTAGGGTATGTTGTTCATAGCCTGTTTGTGTTATTTCTAAGTTGCACTCATAATTAGGCTACTGGAAAACAATATTATAACAACGCATTCCCTCTCTCAGATACGCCACTCTTGCATATAACGAGGCCACAAAGAATAATCTGGACCCAAGGGAGAGGGGCATGGAGTCCAAGAGTGGATTCATGTTCGAGCAGCCAGGGAACCCACTATGCCCGGTGGCATCACTGGAGAAATATCTATCGAAATGCCTGGAGTAATGCCCTTGCATTTTATCTCCACCCAAGGAGAGGAGAGTGTATCGGGGACCCGATATGGTACACGTCAGAGCCAATGGGCTTGAACTATCTGGCAGCACTTCTACCCAGGATCTGCAGGGCAGCGGGAAAAACAACATACACAAATCACAGCATCAGGACCACGACAGTCCAGAAACTGGCCAATGCTGGTTTAGAAGCAAGGGACATGATGTCAGTGAGTGGGCATCGGTGCGAAGGTTCGCTCCATAGCTACTGGCGTCCCTCACTGACTGACAGAAAACGCTGGAGAAACATCCTGGCTGAAAACAAAGAGAACAGTGCAGCACCATCAACACCCAAAAGGCTGAAGCAAGGCAGCAGAAGTAGTAGCACAGACTACGACAGATATTTCAACCAATGCACCATCCAGGGGAATGTACAGATAAATGTGACATACAAGAAGTAGCTATAGCTATGTCAGCTGTGGTGGATAACAAAGAGAATGTATGGTTTCATTTATTAAAATCAGCTCAAATGAATGTCATGGATTGCCTTTCTTTTGTCTGAACAGTGTTGTGACAAGAGAGCACATTTTCTCTGCCAGGCAAAGTCGCGCATCATAGGCTGATTGTTGGTCATTCCCAAAGCCAACACCTCCTTTGGCCGCCATTCCTTCCAGTTCTCTGCTAGCAATGACTGGAACGAATTGCAAAAATCTCTGAAGCTGGAGACTCTTATCTCCCTCACTAACTTTAAGCATCAGTTGTCAGAGCACCTTACCGATCACTGCACCTGTACACAGCCCATCTGAAATTAGCCCACCCAACTACCTCATCCCTATATTGTTATTTATTTTGCTCTTTTGCACCCCAGTATCTCTATTTTGCACATCATCTCTTGCACATCTAGCATTCCAGTGTTAATACTAATTGTAATTATTTTGCACAATATCCTATTTATTGCCTTACCTCCATAACTTGCTACATTTGCAAACACTGTATATATATTTTCTGTTGTATTTTTTTGACTTTATGTTTTGTTTTACCCCATATGTAACTCTGTGTTGTTGTTTTTATCGCACTGCTATGCTTTATCTTGGCCAGGTCGCAGTTGTAAATGAGAACTTGTTCTCAACTGGCTTACCTGGTTAAATAAAGGTGAAATAAAAAATAAAAAATAATAATTAAAAATAAAATTTGTTATGGATGTATCCAAATAAATGTCAGTAGAAAATAGCTTAAACAAATGCAAATGCAGCTACTTTGCTGGCTGTTATTTCTGGCTGAACCTTTTGACGTAACTGTAAATTACCTGTAGTTGGCTAGCTAGCAAGCAAGGGATAAGAACTTTCCCAGCCAGTATGGCTATGGAACATTTACAACGAACGACTGGGTCGCGTCTATAGATACAGATCAAAAATACTGAATGACTGGGTCGTATCCATAAATACAGAACAAAAAGACTGAATGTCTGGGTCGCGTCTCTAGCAACCCTAGATTTTTGTCGGGACTAAATCTTGTGGAAGGATGAAATAGTACGAATAAATTAATCAAAATAATGTTTTTATTGAAAATATGTCAATCATTATTTGAATATGTTGGTAACCCGTTGTATAAAAGTGATAATGCCCTCGAAGCCGGTGTTTGTTGGATATATTGGCACGGATGTTGTTAGGCCCGAGACAAAGTCGACTAAGGAAGTCTCAAGGTTTTGCCCGCCTGAAGTAGAGTATCTCATGATAAGCTATAGACCACACTATCTACCAAGAGAGTTTTCATCTATATTCTTCGTAGCTGTCTATTTACCACCACAAACCGATGCTGGCACTAAGACCGCACTCAATAAACTGTATACGGCCATTAGCAAACAGGAAAACGCCACATCAGTCACTGGCTTCATCAATGACGTCGTCCCCACAGTGACTGTACGTACATACCCCAACCAGAAGCCATGGATTACAGGCAACATCCGCACTGAGCTAAAGGGTAGAGCTACCGCTTTCAAGGAGCGGGACTCTAACCTAGAAGTTTATAATTAATCCCGCTATGCCCTCCGATGAACCATCAAAAAGTCAAAGTGTCAAAACAGGACTATGATCGAATCGTACTACACTGGCAACGACGCTCGTTGGATGTGGCAGGGCTTGCAAACTATTACAGACTACAAAGGGAAGCACAGCCACGAGCTGCCCAGTGACACGAGCCTACCAGACGAGCTAAATTACTTCTATGCTCGCTTCGAGGCAAGTAACACTGAAACATGCATGAGAGCATCAGCTGTTCCGGATGACTGTGTGATCACGCTCTCCATAGCCGATGTGAGTAAGACCTTTAAACAGGTCAACATTCACAA